TACGGGGGTAATGAACGCAGTTTTCTCCTCATCCTCCCTAGCCATGCGAATCTGATGGTAACCAGAGTATGCATCTAGAAAGCACAAAAGGTCGCACCCCGCAGTGGAGTCGACGATCTGATCTATGCGAGGCAGGGGGTAAGGATCCTTAGGACATGCCTTGTTAAGGTCGGTGTAGTCGATGCACATCCGAAGCTTGCCGTTCGCCTTGGGAACGACCACCGGGTTCGCCAGCCACTCCGGATGGATGACTTCACGGATGAATCCGGCCTCCAGAAGTCTCGCCACCTCTTCGCGGATGAAGGCTTGACGTTCCGGGGCCTGCCGCCGCACTTTCTGCCGGACCGGCCTTGCGCCCGGCCGCACGGCGAGACGGTGCTCAATCACCTCCCTGGGGACCCCGGGCATGTCCGCTGGTCTCCATGCGAAGACGTCAGCGTTTGCCCGCAGGAAGGAGACGAGCGCGTCTTCCTATTTGCCATCCAGAAGACTACCGATCCGTGTGGTCTTGGATGGGCCGTCGCCCAAGGCAACCTCCTTGACCGGGACCTCGTCGCATGTGGCAATCCGCTGCCTCGGGGCGGTGGGGGCGGAGGTGCCAAGCCTCTCGTCACCACCCTCGGGCTTGGTCGCAGCAGCGAGGTGGTCCGCGCGCTGCTCCATGCAAGCGAGCGCGACTTTAAGGTCGCCACGGACAGAGATGGGGCCACCAGGGCCCGGCATCTTCATCTGGAGGTAGGCGTAGTGGACCGCCGCCATAAACTTCACCAACGCGGGCCTCCCCAGGACCGCGTTGTAGGGCAGACTGAGGTCCGCCACATCGAAGTTCACCCGCTCCGTGCGGAAGTTGGCTGATCCACCAAAGGTGACCGGTAGGTCGATGTGACCTAACGGCCATGTGTGCCCCGGCGTCACACCAATGATCGGTTGAGACGGCTGGAGCACCATCCCCGGGGCCTTGATAGCATCAAAGGCCGCGGGGGAAAGGATGTTGAGAGCCGCTCCTCCATCTATGAGGACACGCCCCAACTTCACATTGCAGATGGTGGGGGAAACCACCATCGCAATCTGCCCTCCCCGGGCAACGCACGGTGGGTGGTCGGTCTGGTCAAAGGTGAGGGCCACCTCCGACCACCGCGCCCGACGCGTCGCCTCATGAGTAGGGGCCGCGGCGAGAAGCTCTCGCCTCATGGCCTTGAAACTCCGGCGAGAAACGTGAGCACACGCTCCCCCGTCGACAGTGGCAATGGTGGCCCCAGGTTCTTGGAAACCTAGGTCATCATCACCGTCATCGATGTCAACAGCGGGGGCCTTCTGTCTGGCCTCACTTCGCCGTTTACCGGAGGGAACTGCCGCGGACTTGCCCTCACGGCGTTCCTGCCTCCTGTCCTCCTCCCACTTCCTCGTTCGCTCAGCCAAGTTTTTGACTGCGCGACAGTCCGCGAGATCGTGGAGGGAGGTGTTGTGGACGGAGCACCACTTGCTGGCTGGGCGCTCCCTGCTGGGAGTACCAGCCTCTTTCTTTTTGTCGCTCGCGGGCCTCCCCTTTCGGGTGGCCCGCGGAGCGCCCTCGACGGCGAGGACGTGACCCTCGTCGCCGGAATGGACCGACCTTTTCTTCCTCCTCCTGTCACGCCGCCCTGTCTGAGCGGCGGATCCGGGGGCGGCCGAAGCTGCCACACCGGAACCGGAGGGGTTCCAGGTCCAGGCCTCCTCCTTACGAGCCACTCGGTCCGCGAGCTGAAAAAGCTCTGCGGTAGTCTGGGGCTCTTTGGAGGCAATCTTTTCGAGCATGCGGTTGTGCCGCACACCCCCCCTGAACGCGTAGATCACCGCGTGTGCAGGGATGCAAGGTATAGTATTGCGGACTTGGCAGAAACGCTGAATGTACGAGCGAAGGGATTCATCATCCCCTCGCTGTACTGCGTGCAAGTCCGCTTCTTCACCTGGGCGTGGATAGGTGCCTTGAAAGTTCATGGTGAACTGCTGGCACAGATCCTCCCAGGAGTGGACCGACGCGGGTGGCAGGTTCATTAGCCAACCCCGCGCCTGTCCCTTCAGGGCCATGGGAAAGAAATTCGCCATGACCCTGTCGTCTCCCCTAGCGGCCTCGATCCCGGTCGTATAGACCTGGAGAAACTCGGTGGGGTTGACGCTCCCATCATACTTCTCGGTGATGGTGGGCCGGAACCTTGGGGGCCAACGGACATTCCGAAGACTCGCCACAAAGGCTCTACAGCCAACACCACCAACCGGGGGCACGGAGGGCTGATCCTCACGTCCATGTCGAGGTGACACCCTGGACGAAGAGGCACCCTCCGTTGCGCGGGGTGCACGCCGATCACTACGTCGGCGCTCGATGTCGAGGCGGGCATCCGGCTCTTCATGCTGATCCTCCCGAGTCGGAGGCGCCGACGAGGGAGTGGTAGCCGAATGGCGTGCAGCAGCCGCCGCTCGCCGCGCCCTCCGCCTTGATGACACAGAGCCGGTGGTGGCGACGCCGGAGGTCTTGGTAGTGGCGGACCGTCCACCAGCACCCAGGCGCTGCTGTGCCGTCATGACCAAGTTGGCCACGTCGTCCAGCCATCGCTGGGCTGGAGACTCCGGGTCAGGGACGACAGGCGGGTGACGTAGGAGCGCGCCAACAGCCTGAAGCGCGCCCTGAGGCGTGCTGCCGTCGCCGTAGACGAGGAGGCGACGCTCCCCATCTCGCCGTTCTCCTGCACCACCCGCGACTGGCGATGCTGCGGATTTTTCGACCCTCTCGAGCGCCTCCCCCCGCTTAGGACTTTGGCGCGGAGGAAGTGGGGGAGTACGAGCTCGATGGCGCGGGTTTGGCTCCCCGTCGTCGCCGCTCACACTCGGAGAGAGGTCGTGCGCCTTTGCTTGCTCGGCCATTAGGCTGAACAAGGGAAACTTGGCGCACACGGAAGAGTATGAGAGCTCAGAAAACACACGCTGAGCCCCCTACCTGGCGCGCCAGATGACGGAGCTCGGGGCTCCTCACCGGGAGACCGCGCAGGCCCCCCTTTGCCAGTTCGGCCGGGGGCTTAGGGTGAGATCTCAAGCTCTCTCTGTGTGTGGAAAGATCGCGTGCCAGGAAGAAACGCGAGACACGGACGATGTATACAGGTTCGGGCCGCTGGGAAGCGTAATACCCTACTCCTGTGTTTTTGGTGGATCTGTGTAAGAGCAAGTTACAAAAAATCAACCAGCCCTCTCCTCTCCCGGGAAAATCCAGCCCCCTCTCTTTGTGGGCATGGTCCTCCTTTTATATCTTAAGGGGATACCACATGTACCCTTTTCTTTCCAAACTGGACTTTTCTTCTCTTTATGGACGGAGATTGGTATGGTTGCCGTCCGAATGACATTTCGATGGGACAACCCACACCTACCTCCACTCCCGGCGGAGACAGGCGCAACGTGGGATCGTGGCTGTCTGTTGCTGACGCGACCAGTGTCAGACCGGTCACAGATCGGTCATTCTTGTCCTCTACGTGTCAGTTCAGCGATCTGCATGATCACCCTTCTTTTTGTAGCATCTTGCCTGTAATGGTTGGGATGAAGCCTGGTATTCATCTAACCAGGGCTAACGTGCCATCTCTAAGAGGTAACACGCTAGCTCCGGCTGGAGACGTGTGCCTAGAGGCTCTCGTCTTGACGGGACGGGGCGAGGCGTGCGTCAGACCACCAGTCGCCACCTAACCGTTGATCCGACCGGTCTGTGACTGGTCACAGACCGGATAAAAGAGCGCGCTGCATTGCGCTGCATGCAACGTGACGCGCTTGACCAGACCGCAATAAATGCGGTTAGGTGAGCCCTACCGTGTTCACCCAACCTATGTACATAGTGCAAACCCCACAGGGGGTCGGGGCACCTCGGCCCTCGGGGTCGGGGCAGGAGCAACCCGACCCCCCCTCGGGGAAATCAGGAGGAGGGCGGACACCTCACCCTCGGGCCCGACGTCCCCGAAGGTGCCAGGCCACGTGGGCGATTCCATCTGCCTCAAGCCTCCGGGCGCAATACTCCCGGTCCCATATCACCGACAGAGTAACACTTGTGGCCTCATCATTTAGTCTATGGCCATTGAAGAACAAACGAAGAAAAAAATGTTTTTCAGTAAAACTTCTAAATATATGTTTCAAAATTCTAAAAGCCAATATAAAAAACTAAACAACGATGAAAAAAATAATATCAAAAGATAGGCGGCGCAGATAAACCAACATTAGGGTAATATATGCAATTCATTATCCGTTATTGAAAGAGTTTCGTGGGATTACTTATTTGCCCCTAAGGTCTAAAGTCACAAGATAGTGGAAGAACAAGGGGAAAATTATGAAAGCTATCCCTTAAATCATTTGAAGTTTGATATATCATCCCATAATAAGTTATTTGTTATAAATACTTCCCTCTACTTCGTTTGTATAAATAACCCCGGTGCGCACGGGCTTAACTGATCAACTTGCCATCGCTGATGTAGAGCTACCATAGGCTAAGCTAGCAAAGTAAAATTGTCAAAGTGCTTGTATTAGATTTATTCTTCATATTTTATTAAACTTCTTTGGATATAGCGAAACTTAGTGTGACAACATTTAAGTTCTTATCATCATTTCTATCTGAGGAATCTCTAAAAAAATTGTCAAAACTATATTGCAGAAGTATATAATTTTGATAAAGACTATATTAACAGCTCATAAATTTATGAAAACATGTTGATTCGATTAAACACGTGTGCACTAAGATAGTTTTTTAACAGATCTGAGTAGATGGGTGGCCATTTGCAACAAATGACATATGAGGTGGAATATAAAGCTTCAAGTGACTTATAGGGATGTTTTTGCAATTTTCCCAAGAATAAGGGCGAACTAAGATAACCGACCAACTTCTGGTGCAAATAAGAAATGTATCTCTAGAGTAGTAAGTACAGTACATCGTTCATCTCAGCCGTCTATCCGACGGCACCAGGGCACATCCAGTGAAAGTCAAGCTTCCCTTGCCGTTGATTCAAAAAAAAAAAAAAAGAGAAGAGCATCTGGTTGCCTTTGGCCGGCGCCGGGCAAGTCACCCGCGGCGGTTGTGCTGCCGGCCGTCGACTCAACCCAACCCGCGACCGCGATTTCCCACGCGCAGCCGCGCCATGGCCGGCTGGATCTCCTCCAAGCTCAAGGCCGCCGAGACCCTCCTCCACCAAGCAAGCCCCCCCCCCCCGGTCCCCCACCTCACCTTCGCTCGCTCCCCCTCAACCCCACTAACCCCTCTTCTTCTTCTTCGCTCGTGTCGCGCAGATCGACCAGCAGGCGGCGGAGTCCCTCGGCAAGTCCCCGTCGGCCTCCGACCTCACCGCGCTGCACGCCTCCTCCTCCTCCTCCGCCGCCGACGCCCTCCTCGACGCCCCGACGCGGAGGCAGCCGCCGGTCGCCCCGCCTCCCTCCCTCGGCCTCCGCCTCGCCGCGAGGCGCCCCAACCTGCCTCCGCCTCCGGCTCCTGCTCCCGCTTCCCCTGCCCCCCGCCGCTCCGCCTCCGCGACTGCGGTTCTCGCTGCCCAGGATCGCGCGGCGGGTGCTGCTGTGGGGGGCGTGGCCGAGGCTAAGGTGGGGGGAGATCGGGAGGAGGACAAAGGCGGCGGGTCGGAGAGCGGGAGCGGGAGCGATGAGGACGACTCGGATGGGTCGGGCAGCGACGACTCGGAGGACTCGGAGGAGGAGAGGCGGAGGGAGGAGGAGAGGAGGCGGCGGCGGGCGGAGCGGCTCGCGGCAATGGCGGCGCGAGCGATCGCGGAGAGGGAGGAGGCGGTGGCGAAGCTCGAGGGGGAGAAGGCCAGCCTTGAGAAGCTGCTCGCCGAGCGCGAGAAGGAGCAGGCACAGGAGGTGAGTTCGATTCATGGCGATATCATCACGCTTGCTTGTGCAAATTTCAGAGATCTCGTAAACATGATGATATACTCTGGTACTCAATGATCGGAGGTAACAGAGAATGTTCTAATGCATTAGCACAACATTTTCCTCTGAGAGTAATTCGCAGAACGTTTGGGTCAGTAGTGATTCTAGCGGACTTTGCTTTGTAGTCATGCGGGATCAAGTTTGCTTAGGTTGGGTTGGATGGCACAGCGACTTTGTGTGCAGGAAGCCACACCAATCGATCTGACATTTTATCATGAAATATATTGCTTGCTACAGCAACTTTGTGTTGATCTCAGCAATGGCACTGAGCACCCTAGGCATATCCCTTGTTTTTCACCGAAGGCAGCAATGAAATTAGTGCAGTAACTTTAGCATCCCATGCAATCAAGTAGTTGTACCGAGATCATGATTTGCAACTTAAAATTGTAGTTATGCTTGACTTTCTTTTGTTACTTCTATTCCATTCATGTTTTGGTTTTTAGCAGTGTCAATGTGTAAACCATTATTTGTGTTGCTTTCGTTTTACTGCCCAGAGTCATCATCTACTTGGATGATCATTGCACAGCTCATGCTGTTCATCGGTTATTGGTTCATGTTCTGTTCCCTCTTGTGATTCTTGTCATTTGGTGAGACAGAGCTGACTGCTCAATTTTCATGTATCTTGCAAGATTGATTAGCATTGTTTTCAACACTTATTGTGTTTAATTTCAGGCTTCAGAGTTGCAGAATAGCATGATTGAAACTATGGAGGCTGTGGAGATGGAGAAACAGCGACACCACAGCACTAGAATGGAAGCCCTTGCACGGTTGGCTAAGCTTGAGGTACCACGACTCTGCTGCATTACCTTCCCTCTTGTCCTAGATTACTATGAGTAACGCGATACTTAGTATTTTACTTTGTGGTAGACAAATAGCATTTGACCTCAACTGTCAACACTTGAGCAGTGATCTCACCTAATATCTTTGCAGGTTACAAATGCAGAGCTTGCAAAGTCACTTGCGAGGGAACAGTGGAACCTGGATCTTCAAGTATGCAATATGTTCCCTTTCCTGTATGTTTCTCTAGGTCATTTGTTGAACTAGTAGGTATCTTGTTATTATTTATTTTCCAGTTTCTTGCAGTGCCACTTGTTTAGAAGTGTTCTTTCTTAGTCAAGGGGAAGTACGTTAACTGCTGCTACAGTGATACATACAAGCTGCCTTCATATATATACAGTTGTGTGGAGCACCATATTTTGCTATGCTTGGCTGCTTTTCATAATAAATTCAAAGCAGTACAATATTTTGGGGCCAGGACAATAAAGTAATATCTGGGGATTAGTTACAGTTAGCTAATGACTTATACATGCCTTACTGCCAAATGCTTTAAGATTTTTGGATTCTTATTTTAGTCCTTTATGAATACACATGTATATAGTCTTGGTATTGAGTAACAGATTGGGTAGCAGGTATAAGTGCCCAGTCCACTAGTCCAGACCAGCATTGACTTATTATGTGCTTCCCTTATATATTTGGATATTAATGTCCTCCACTCCGTAGTGCCTAGATTGGTGGTTTCTGTAATACTTGAGACATGATTGATATACTCTGGAATTAGCAGTCGAAATGATCATACTTTACACCTATGAAAACCACAAATGCAATTTGATATTTTTGTTTTGCCTACTATCACTAGAGGTAGGCTACTGCCTAGCCTTGGTAACATTGAGTTGTTTCAGTTGATACTTGACAGTTGCTGCACAAGTTATGAGATGCTATACCAATCATAAAAATGGAATTTAAAAAATCATGGTATTCTTGATATTTAACTAGGTTGATCAGGTGGCACAACTTCGAGAGGAAGTTGATATGAAGACTCTTACTCAAGATAGTAAGTCCATTGTGGTTTTGTTTCTCATTCTTATGGTAGTTTTGTGTCATGTCGACTCATTTTTTTAGCTCTGTCGAACACTTGGACTAATGTGTGACATTGCATTCTTTTTTAGAGAATCATACCATCAATCCATCATCTAAAGCTTCTTTTTTCAAATATGTGACCTTTTTTTTATCATTATATGAGCAGAATATAAGAGAAAGATAGCAAAGATGCAGAAGACTAGCCCCCTTTTGGTTAATGAAGTAAGCAAATGTGTTGCATTTTGTTTTGTTTGCACTTATTACTGTACAGATTTTTTTCATATAATGTTTGTTAGTTCTTAAGCCCTTCTAATCATATGGTTGACCTAAGAGCAAAGTCTCCTTGTCCCTTCTATTTGTAACTTCATTGAACTTTTGTCTAGATAGAATCGTTGAGAAGGTTCAAGCTGGAAGAAGAAATGATTGATGCAGAGTATGCTCTAACATGTGATAGAATCGTCAACTTGAAAGACAAGGTAGATTATTCTGACTATAACTTTAATCATTAGCATTATGTTGTGTTTTTTTATGTTACCAGGACTTATCTTTCTTTGTGCTTTTGGTGATAATTGTGCTGTGCCTTAGCATGGTACTTTTCTGGATTCCTTTCATGGAGTCCCAACTAACTCACTTTTATAAGTCCCATGTGATATTGTTTGGACATTTTGGTCAACGATCTTTATGTTATTTCATTACTGCACATATGATGCATTAGATCATTTGAAAAGGGTTGGGGAATAAATAATAAACTGGATGTAAGGGCATTCTTGTCTACCTTTTCTAGATGCACTATTTGTGCATGGGTTGAGTGCACCACCTGACCACTTTTTATTTGTTTATAGGCAAGGAAGATTAAAGAAAACATTGAGCTGACAAAAAGAAGAATGGTGCATCCTACAGAAGTGGAAATTGAACTCAAGAAGAGACTTGATCAACTCACTGATCGTTTAATTCAGAAACAGATGCAGGTTAGTTGCTTGGATGTTCCCACTTGTTATGTCACATCCCGCGTTAAATTTCTGATTAGCAATAGATAATATTTATGTTCTTACAGCATGTCCCATTGAAAGTGAACCAAAGAATCCTCAAACATGAAAGCGGCTACCATCTGACAGCAAAATGTTGTTATCTGCTTGTAGAAACCAGTGTTTCTGTCTCTTCTCTACAATGTGCTGCATTCTTGTGAAACGATGATGAGACCTAAACGGTTTTCTTTCAGGTTGAGTCCCTCTCTTCAGAGAAAGCAGCCTTGTTACTGAGAATAGAGGTCTGTATCTGCAAACCGCTGTCTTTGCTTCAATACAAGAAATGTATTGGTATATTCCTATCAATTTTCCCGGTTAAATGTATTGTTCATTATCATCTGCAGGCAGTTTCAAGATCGCTTGACAATAACGGATCATCATCGTTGGCTTATTCGAGCTCCTCGTCAAAGATAGATATCGAAGCTGGTACATGGCAAGAATCACACCCGCCAAGGTTGCGTGACAGGATACGGAATGGACAGCGGCAACTGGGATCGGCAATCCGACAGCTCGATTCCATCTTCTCCGCTGGCCATATCTTCTTGAGGCGGAATCCTAAGGCGCTAGTTTGGGCCATGGTGTACCTGGTGTGCCTCCACATATGGGTCCTGTACATACTAACGTCACATCCGACAATATCAGAAGCTCGCCCTGGTGCTACATTTTCGTTGGAGTCATTAAACAAGACTGGTATTTAACCCTTTCTCGTTCTTCGCCTTTTCCTCTTCCCCCCCCCCCCCCCCTTGATGTGCATTACAATGATACGTGAGTCTATTCTCTGTGTAAACGAGGGAGTTTTGCTTCCTATAGAAATGGGATAACTGGTTGTACAGTCTGGTAATATGATTTTGGACAGTTAACTGAGCCAACCTGTTTTAACATCAATTCAGTTTGAAGGGGTCTGAATGCTCGGCAGAAAACCACAACAGTCACTCCATTTTTCCTTCGTTTGTTAACTCATTACTGTGTAACCTGCTATTCTTACTTCTTGTACCTCTATATATGTAATACAAAAAAGGTAGTTTCATATTTGCAAATGGCATGAACTGAGAAAACGTCTGAATATACGACTTAAGACCTGTTCAGATTGTAGCCAAAATAAACCTTACAAAATTTTGGCAAGATGGTAATATTGTCAAATTTTTAGCAGGATTTCTTATATATTTACCAAATTTGATAATAAACTAAACATAGATATTTTTTTTTGCAACTTTACTAAAAAAATTTTATGGTTGAAAATGGCATCAAAGTAAGCAGACCGAGAAAGGAATACTACTGCGTCAGTAGAAATTGAGCTGATGGAACAGCAATGGTCGGGTTACTACAATCTGATTTTCTTTACTAGACGCCACACATTCTCTGCCACGAATTTCAAAAGAGGTAGGAAGAGAAAAAAAAAAGTGGGGACACACCACAGCCACGGATGCAAACGAAATGGAATTTGAAAAGAAGCAGGTGAATCACGAAGAGAGATGTGGCGGCACACCACAGCCACGGATGCAAAACAGAATAGAATTTGAAAAGAAACAGATGACTAGATTACGAAGAGAAATGTGGCGGCATACCACAGCCACGGACGCAAAACGAGATGGTAGCCAGGAGAAGCAAAAGCGGCGAGCCGGCCGGGGAGAGCTTGGGTTGAGTTGAACCAATCTGCCGCCCTATCTTCAACCTTGGCGTCTCTCCGGTGTCTCTACTCTCCTTCCTTTACCTCCAAAAAGCGACGTCGACATGGCACACAAAATGGTTGGCACCCTCACTTCTCCAGGAGATCGAGAAGAAGACCAAATCGTGTACTGGGGCTGATCGATCCGCCCGGTGCACTCGCACACAGTACACCTGACGTGATAGCTGCACGATTCCTGTGGACCACCCACTGCTTCCCCACCGCTCGCTTTGAGCAGAATTCTGCTTGTTTGAACTTTGGCTGCTAATAAGTCATTTACAATTGTTGAGCTATGACTGCTAATAAGTTATAAAAAAAAGGACTAATCAAAATATTCTTGTTGGTAAAATTTTCATACCTATTAAAAAGCCAAGGTAAGGAAAATAGGCTATGTTGAAAAAAAAAGGGCTGCTTAAGAATGTTTCAAAATTTAAATTTTGGCTGTAGCTGATAAGCCAATAAGAAGTCGATGAGAGTACAACAAATTTGAGGGTTTTTTTTTGTCACTTTCACCACTCAACTTCAACTTTAGTCTTTAGAACCATATATACTAGCAGTTTAAAAGTCTTATTGCTTTGATAATGTGTCTTTAGATTGTAAGTTGCATCAGAAAAGCTGAAACAAGTAGGTCACTAAGTAGAATCATTGCACAATCTTTTCTTTTTTTTCTTTAACGAAAAGGGCGGGAGCTCTGCCGATCTCATCTCATCTCTTCTCATCAGTAGACTCTGGAGTCCCAGCACTATCTTTCCCGAGTAATTTGTGAATGATTATTCCAAACACCAAATGAATGAGACGGATTATGTGATCTATCTCAAGTTCAGAAAGTGGTTGACTATACTTAGTTGCCCACTTTATCCCAATAACAATGATGTACAAATTTAGAGTGCTACCAACACGTCTCCACTGCACCCCACAACCCAAAGAACAAAGATATCTTCAACAGATGACTACTTCTAGCTCCTCTGAAAACGAAATGCATTAACACAAGCCCTGCAATTATTTGAGGCAGATCGAATCTGTTCATCTTGATCTTGCAATCAGGGGCAGATTTTTTTCCCTTAAGGCCTTGTTCGGTTAATCTCTGTAAGAGAGGGATTTGAGGGGATTTATTCCATACCCATTGTGGTGTGGAATTATTCCTCCTCAATCCCCTCCAATCCTCTCCAAACCGAACAAGGCCTAAGGAACGTTCTTTTAATTTTCATATGGCTAAAAAAACCATGAAAATATATATACTCCCTCCATTTCAGTTTATAAGATGTTTTTATTTTGGTCAAAGTCAAACTGTTTCAAGTTTGACTAAGTTTATAGACAAATGTAATAATATTTATAATACTAAATTGGTTTCATCAAATCAATAATTGAATATATTTTCATAATAAATTTGTCTTGGGTTGAAATTTGAAAATGTTACTACTTTTTTCTACAAAATTGGTAAAATTTGAAGCAGTTTGACTTTGACCAAAGTCAAAACGTTTTATAACTAAAACGGAGGGAGTACATTTTTTTATAAGGTAGAGCAGACATACCACTTCACAAATAACTAATTCGGCCCATATAAATAGCAACAAAAATAACAAATTTAAATGTGAATAGCACGTACAATTTGCAATCAAATTTGTTGTTTTTCTATTTATAGATCAAATTTAAACTTGTATATTTTTTTTAAAAAGGAGGGGATGCACAGACTTTCCACTTGCAATCGACTGACTGCTCCTCGACGGCTATGCATCTCCCAGAGCTGAAGCTCTTTACGAAAAAAGAACACCTCCGAGTCTCTCTCCCTGGGATAGATGAAGAGATTGAAGCATGATCTCTCTCGAGTTTATCTCATATTTTTGCCGTCTTGTTAGGATCAAAGATGCGATGGGACGCAGCCACACACAAGAAATCGCGATCGATCGGAGGCAGCCACTGCTCCGGCAGTCATGTCCCCGGAGCCGACCGCCCCACCCACGAAAAATATTCCGGGGAGCCCACGCACACACACATTGCTGTATTGCTCGCTTTGCATAAAGCTCGCCATGGATGTATATTCCCCAATATTCTTGTGCTCGCTTTTTTCTCCTTTGTTCGAATCCATCCATGTTGGATACTTGGATAGGATTACACCTTAATGCAGGTCCACAGATTACAGCGATCTGTGCACATTCTGCACCAATGGCAGCCTAACACATCTGAGATTCTTAGATGCGTTCTGTAGAAATTTGCTACTACTCCTACTTGCTAGTAGTGAAAATGAACTCGGTGTACAATGTTATTCTGCATCTTTTCTTTGAATGTTTTTTTCCTTCCTTCAATCTGGTTCTGCTTAGCGCTTTCCTGTTGCGACTGCTTTACCTGCATATCTTATTATTTTGGTTGTAATTTTCACTGAATTTATCCACAGCCACGTACTCATATTGCTTGTGTTTTCTAACCCTGATTGGATTCGTAAAGTTTTCAGAACTCTGAACTAACATTGGCCGAACTTATGGAGCCAGTTTGGCCTAACTGATTTCGTTGACACAAAATTTTGGATTTGCCTGTTTTGGTCACAGACTAGACTAGACAAGCACCTGAATCAGCCCATGGGCCCAACTACATGGAATCGATGATTGCTTTTCAGTTTTCACTACTTGGAAGGGTGGTGATCATTCTCTTAACTGAACAAAAATCAGAGAGAATCAAAACCTCTCCTCCTGTCTCAATGCAGCGAAGACCAAGTAACTGAACTCCAGATACTTGCACAGGATGACAGAAACAACACAATCAGAAAGAAAGAAATGATAATGGAACTAATGGAAGTAATCCTATTCCACTAGAAGTGCCAATGTACAGTCTTCATCAAGTCGCTCAAAAAAATCTTAAGCCACTGAACTGAATGCAAATGTTTTTTTTTTTGGTCTAGTTATAACTGTCAGCTTAATTAGTACAAGTTACTAGAAAGACAGAGAGATCAGAGATGGACTATGCATGATTGGAACTTGTCATATACGTGACATATACCGGGTAGGAATTAAGCTCGCCGTTGTTGCAAGGCTCCATATCTCCAGCTTTAATTCTCTGACGTCGCCACTCATGTTCGACGACCCCAGTCGCACCAAGTTTGACAATGCAAAATGCAATGCTAAATGCTAAGACCACTTTACAGCTTTTGTTAGCTCATACATGCGTCACTGCTTTTGTCTTGGACTCTCTCTTCATCTAGATAATCACCTTTTCTTTCAAAAAATGGGTGCATTTTTTTTTCAGGAAAATATGTGTAGGAGATAATCACATTTCCAATCCTTGTCTCAACTCTCATCCTCTTTTCCTTTTTCCAAAGGCAAAAAACACATTCATCTTTCCCCCGTTCTTGTCAAAGAGAGATGATTCAAATCGTAGCTAATTTCAGTTTGCCTCAATCTCAAGCTGATCAGGCATATTCTCTAAAATGTACCAATGTACCATTCCTACATGGTTGCCTCTCTACTTTCTTTCTTTGACTTGTGGCACACACCTCTATACAACATACGTTAGGGGTACTATGTATGCATGGCAAGTGAGAAAATTTCCCAATTAATGGCATTGTTGGCTACTTATTAAATATCATAGCTGGGATGCATGACTAAATAGGTCCATGTTGTGTATAAGAGACTCCAGGTTAGGCCGCTTGGATGATGCAATTTCCCCCCTGTTATTTAAGCAAGCATTATATCGCTTTAATGCACCATTGACTTAAAAATGCAAAGGAGACAATTCTTTTTTTTATTGCTTGCCATAGTGAATTTTAGAGTGGCCCACGTGTCATCGACAATAAATAAGACATACCACGTCCGTCAAAAAGACATTATTTATAACTACGCACGTGGGCAAGTACTTATCTAGATTCAATCAGAAATAAAGTCTATATGAACAGAGGGTAGTAAGACAAATATTTCTATGGATCAAAATTGATGCTCCTATAAAAAAAATTACTGGTGCTGTTACTAATTGGGTAACATAACATACACATGAGTCCATGAAATGAATTGCTGTGATATATGTCAAAGTGAAAGTGGTGAAATGCCTCTTGTGTCACAGGTGATGGTGGTATCAAATCCAAGGATTCCCCATCCATGGGGAAAATGGCCAAGTTTATATGTGCCTTTGCCTCATTATTGAACACCCACCCCCCACCCTACCCCCCTTTGTGTCACCTTTGATTCTCCCCTCCTCCAAGTTGCATCTCACTTTTCCTCCTTCCCCCTAAGCTCACACTAGCCCTCTTATATACACACCCCAAACCCTCCTAGCTCTCCTTGCAACAACAACTAAGTTGTTGGATAGTAAAACCTAGCTTTGCTATAGCAACAACAACAACAACAAAAAATCTCTCTCACATGGTGGGGATGCGTGGAGCTTATG